AGTTGGCTTCCATCTATAATAGTTATTTATTTATATACAATAAACAAATAACACAACACATAAAAACCTAAATGATCACCCTGCGGTTCTCGAGGCCAAATGCTTTCTCTCTCTTTTCGACTGCCGATGGTAGATCCAATTTCGAAGCAACAAAGATCTGTTTGATCCAAGCAGCAAGTTTTATCCCAATGGTCTGATGGTCATACTTTCCCCCATTTTCTATCTGACTGTTGGGATACAAACGCAGTTAATACTCCCAATAAAAAGTGTTGGATTCCGGCAGTCGATGAGAAAGAGAGAGAAAAAATCATATTCTACGGAGGTTCCCATGAAAGAAAGGTTTCAGGCGGATGCAAAGAGACGGATGTCTCCGGATGCCAAAGTTGATGGAGAGATATTGGAAAACGGTTGTGCAGCTCATGATTGAATGGCGGTTCACTGATAAAGTCCCAACGGCTCAGTGCGTCAGCTTCTTCATTTCGATCGCCAGAAATATGCGATAAATCCAATTCCATTCCAGAAATTGTGCATAGCAGTGTCAACTTTTCCAAAAAATGATTCAAAGGAGACTTAGTAGAAAATAATTTGTTGCCACCTGCTTCAGTGCCAGTGTTATCTGTTAATGAAGGAATACGTAAGGGAAATCTGAAGCCAGGAGAGCTGCGACTGAAAATGTACAGAATGGCTATCTGAGCCAGGGTTTCAAAGGAGGCAATGCATTTCTGCATTTCTTTGGTGACCGGAATGTCCCAGGCAGCAAAATCATTGAAAGTGAATTTTTCACTGAACCAAATAACTGTGCCGGATGGGAAATAAATAAAGCCCCCAATCTGACATATATCAGATGATGCCATGGCATCTGCTGCACAACGACCTGACCAGAGTTGTTTGGGACGTAGACATTTAACCAGTGAAACAGATTGCAGCCAATCTGCATAGAGTTGCAAGACTCGATGAGAGTCAGCACTTAACGATCTGCGAACTGAGGAAGGATCACGAACTCGAAGCCACGTCCTACGTTCAGATAAATAAATTTGATGTAAATCTGCCTTGCAAGTGACAGCTTGATGTCGAACCGCCAGCAATTTGCTTCCAATTGGGATGCCTGTGCCTGTGGGAGTTTTGAAAAATTGTAAATCGTCATCCAAGCAATCAATGACATGTTTCCAGTGTCCTGGATCAATGCTGTAATGGCTGGCCGGAATATGATATAAATCGCGATACAAAATTGGGAGCCAACATCGCATGAGCAAAAATATTTGCGTGATCCAGTTCAGCAGTCCCACCAATTTCTCAAGGGATTTCTTGGATGTCCGGGAGGATTTCCGCATCACGGAGATATACTCCCCAAGTTTGTCAACCTTGTTTTGTGGCAAGCTGATAAATCCAGCTGTGATGTGAAATTGCCAACCAATCCATTGAACTCGCGGGCCAAACTCAGTTTTGCGCCAAGAAATAGGAATGCGCAATACCTGTGCTAAAACGCCGCACATGCTTGACATAATCCAGGCAACCTTTTCAGGAAACAGGAAAAAGAAGTCATCAACGTAGATGAATCCAGCGTGTGTCCACCACAATAAAAAGTGGATGCAGCGCAAAATGAAGCTGCCAACCCTGGTCCAATGATAGGCACTGAAAGTGGCCCCAAATGGGGCCACTTTATAAAAATAGATGGCCCCATCTAAAGTGAATCCCAGGAGTCCGCGGTCAGATTCGCGAATCACCACCAACTTGTGGGCTGATTTGATGTCGAGGGAAAATCCCACCATAGGTTCATTGGAGTTTCTTAAAGGGTATACACGCATGACGTCCTGAGCACTCGGAAGGGTTGTTTTCTCAGGTATGCTGCACCTGTTGTTGACTCCGCAGATTGATGAGTCAACAACTAATCTTGGCGGCCTGGTGTCACTTAATGCCAGGCCTAACTTCCCAATGGCAAGTTTGTCACCAAATTCTTGTTGAGCATCTTCCAGAGTGCCATCATATTTGTAAATCCAGCCCTTTTCCAGTTCTTGGAAGACAAGGTTGCGTGTCGTAGGCAAATCAGATTCTGCAGACTGCCAGTTGGTTGAATGCACTGACAGAGGTACCGTTTCATCACTCTTATCTTCTGTGTGGGGAAAACAACCAGAAGCAGGAATATCGCCATCGAAACCAGTGGGGGCCCCTGCCAGTAACATGGGAAATAATGTTGTATCTCGATCATCCAAAATACGAGATAATGCCGCCATGATCGAAAGCTGCATGGGTTGATCCGCTCTGATTGACCAATCAGGAACCAGTCCATGAGATTGGATGAATTCGTTCAAGGTGTTTTTAAATGGGATCAAATCGTCTTCTGTAAAAGGTGGTTGAGCATCCCCTGAATTGAAAAACGATTTCATTTTTTGAATCAACCCGTTATTTAACAATAGTTTCACCCATTGCCTGCGCAAAGATTGAAATGTGTCGGGGACAGCTCGAAAAGGTCGACTCCAGTCGGGTTCAGAAAATAAACCGCCACCATCTTCATAGCTTACCGGTAGATCACTCAGTTGTTTGATGGGAATATATTGTTGCACGGACGATAAATCCAAAAGTCGTCCAGAATCCGGAGAGCAGAGTGGTGATATGATGTCCGCTTTATTTAGTACAAGGAAAACCGTGGGCCTATAGCGCATGTTCATATATCCACATATCTATAAACATCATACCCGTATACAAAGGGTGAATACCCTTAATACGCGATACGCACTGTCCTAACACGCCTGCCACAAGAAACCCCACTGCCACTGTGAGTTTGATGCGTTCATCAAACATTCACCTCCTCCAAAAAATTAAAACTTCTTCTCTTTCCAAAAATTTTTAACATGTCCAACAACATACAGCAATCTGAAGTTGAAAAACGGCTGATACCGAAGCTGGATCACTCGCACTTTTTCAACTGGTGCACTGGGGGAAATCGCAATTGGTTGCTGCCGTTCTGTCATCGGCTAGGGGTAGGCTATGAAACCCCGAATTTGGCCACATGCAGATGTGGGTGACAAGAAAAATTTTCATCTGTACGTCTTTCGACGTGCTCTCGGCGCGTCGCGTAGCAACACAGTGACAGCATGTCCTGATCTCTAGCTCGTAAAAAGCTGTAGATTCCGGCCACATTCCAGTCATATCGATGAATGAGGTAAATGATCTGAAGAGATCTATGAAGGTGTAAGAGGGCAAAACGCTCTGGCTCGAATGGGAGCAGCGTTTGCTGCAGTGCAGTCTGGGTTCTCACCTCAATTAATGGTACCTCGTCTGCCATTGCACGAGGTCTTGGCTCACAGAAATAAAAATATGGAATTTGGTGTTGTGCGGGTGGGATATGGGCGGGTGTCACCACACCACATCCAGAGCTGTGAGCGGAAAAGGACTTCGACACTCAAACAGTGAACAGTTGTGACATGTTCACACAGGTTTAAAAAGAACAATCAGGTTTGTTTCTGGCAAACAAAACCCCAATTGAAGGTTTGGTGTTCACACCAAAGAAATTCGTAACAAAAAACAGAACAGACGTGTTTCCACAAACTGTTGTTTTTTCATGAACTGCGCATTTCACATTTTGCCCACTATGTTTTTGTTTAACAAAAACATTTTTCCTTTGTCCAAATAAGGTTACGATCTTTGTTCCAAAGAGTAGCAACTTATTTAGTACAAGGAAAACCGTGGGCCTATAGCGCATGTTCATATATCCACATATCTATAAACATCATACCCGTATACAAAGGGTGAATACCCTTAATACGCGATACGCACTGTCCTAACACGCCTGCCACAAGAAACCCCACTGCCACTGTGAGTTTGATGCGTTCATCAAACATTCACCTCCTCCAAAAAATTAAAACTTCTTCTCTTTCCAAAAATTTTTAACATGTCCAACAACATACAGCAATCTGAAGTTGAAAAACGGCTGATACCGAAGCTGGATCACTCGCACTTTTTCAACTGGTGCACTGGGGGAAATCGCAATTGGTTGCTGCCGTTCTGTCATCGGCTAGGGGTAGGCTATGAAACCCCGAATTTGGCCACATGCAGATGTGGGTGACAAGAAAAAATTTTCATCTGTACGTCTTTCGACGTGCTCTCGGCGCGTCGCGTAGCAACACAGTGACAGCATGTCCTGATCTCTAGCTCGTAAAAAGCTGTAGATTCCGGCCACATTCCAGTCATATCGATGAATGAGGTAAATGATCTGAAGAGATCTATGAAGGTGTAAGAGGGCAAAACGCTCTGGCTCGAATGGGAGCAGCGTTTGCTGCAGTGCAGTCTGGGTTCTCACCTCAATTAATGGTACCTCGTCTGCCATTGCACGAGGTCTTGGCTCACAGAAATAAAAATATGGAATTTGGTGTTGTGCGGGTGGGATATGGGCGGGTGTCACCACACCACATCCAGAGCTGTGAGCGGAAAAGGACTTCGACACTCAAACAGTGAACAGTTGTGACATGTTCACACAGGTTTAAAAAGAACAATCAGGTTTGTTTCTGGCAAACAAAACCCCAATTGAAGGTTTGGTGTTCACACCAAAGAAATTCGTAACAAAAAACAGAACAGACGTGTTTCCACAAACTGTTGTTTTTTCATGAACTGCGCATTTCACATTTTGCCCACTATGTTTTTGTTTAACAAAAACATTTTTCCTTTGTCCAAATAAGGTTACGATCTTTGTTCCAAAGAGTAGCAACTTATTTAGTACAAGGAAAACCGTGGGCCTATAGCGCATGTTCATATATCCACATATCTATAAACATCATACCCGTATACAAAGGGTGAATACCCTTAATACGCGATACGCACTGTCCTAACACGCCTGCCACAAGAAACCCCACTGCCACTGTGAGTTTGATGCGTTCATCAAACATTCACCTCCTCCAAAAAATTAAAACTTCTTCTCTTTCCAAAAATTTTTAACATGTCCAACAACATACAGCAATCTGAAGTTGAAAAACGGCTGATACCGAAGCTGGATCACTCGCACTTTTTCAACTGGTGCACTGGGGGAAATCGCAATTGGTTGCTGCCGTTCTGTCCCCCACTGAGACACACAGCCCAAGAAGTTTCCCCACTGCCATCCAGTCACATGGCCCTTTCACCGCACCCAGACTAAGAAGAAAATCGTCTTTCAGTCGGCTTGGTGAATCCGCCAAATTGGAAAGAGAAGGTACCCTTGCAAACCATGACTTCAACAGCCGCTGCATTTCTGCGTTTGTGAAGTCATTCACCAATTCAGCTGCTACCATCGTGGCCCCGTGGCCCTTGATGTATGCTGACCTTCCAGCCTCGTTGTCAAGATACCAGCAGAACTGGGAGGACTGCATCTGCTGTCCCCATAACCATGCTGACACCACCACGGGAAGGACCTCCATCTCGTAAATGGGGGTTTTGGATTTGGATAACCAAACGCCCATAAGTTCGGCAGAGACTTCGCCTCCAAAGAAAGAAACTATACTGCCACTCGGGTTGATTAGCACCCCGCCAATGCCACCTGTCTTCAAGCCCTCTTGTCCTTCGCAGGCCCCATCTGTGAAAATGACCCACGACTGTAAACATGAAGGGCTTATGGCAAGTGGTGGCGCAATCAAGACCCTTTCGCATAGGAACTGCAAGGCTGAAACATCTTTTGCAGAAAGCTCCACCCGCCTTTTGCCACTCAAAGCAGGGTCACCCAGCGCTTTAACAGGGCTGTTTGCAACCCTTCCAAAAGCAAATGACTTGAACCAGTGAAGTCGTCCACGCAAGGATTCTGCCTGTTTGGTGTTGATGGCCTTCTCTTTGAGAATCCCGTTCAAGACCGAACTGAGTTCCTCCTTCCTATCTTGGGTGTGGCCCATGGGGATCACTCCAGAACCAAAACACTGAAGATCTATTTCCACTCCCAGGCTTTTAAACTTCTTTGCAGACTTTCCAGCTTTGTCGCCTTCTTTAGCGAAATCAACACCCAGCAGATCAAACAGCGTCTCCACCGTCTTGGACGTGTTGGAGTTCAGGGAGTCCCTAGAGAAAACTGTCTAATCGCCAAAGAAGGCCGTCCATACCAGCTTGAAATGGATAGGCCCAAAAACCCTATTGCTAAACTAACACGCAGGAAACCACCAACCGAACCAGAAGCTCCAAACGGCAAGCTGTTAACGCCAAATAACGACACCTGCCCACTATCAGATTTCCTGACCTCCAGCCTGATGACCTCTCTGTCTTGGGAGGAGATACCGTACTGCTTATACGCATGTTTCAAGTCAAAAATGCGGCCAGAAACGCCCTCAACGCTGTGGCCACTCTGCATGTAATCAACCATGTAAGCAAGGAAGGCCGCACATTCATCCATGGCATGAACCCTGTACTTTTCCACCGACCCAACTGCAGCATTTATGCCCCCCTTGGAGCAGTCGTCAATGACTCTGAGTTTGCCTGCTCGTTGAACAAGCCCAAACCTTTTGCAGGGAGAAAAATCATGGGATCAGCATCCTCGTCGGGCCAGATGTAGCCAAGGTTCACCTCCTCCATTGTTTTACCCAAGTGGCTCTCACCAGCTCTTCATCATTACGATCGTCCACCAGCTGGTGAAGAATGGCCCTGATGAGTCCCCGTGCCATCATTCTCAGGGTTGCCAAAGAAAACTGAGGTTTCTTTACACACTGCGGAAAACACCAGTTTTATTTTGCCAACCTGTAATGCTGAAGCCTTCCGATAGGTCTGAAATCAGTGGCTTGTCCGGGTAGTCAAAAGACTCCAACATTTCTTTGAAGAGGAGGAGTCTCTTCGTTTTCATCAGTGATTGCATGTGCGGTGGGAGACCACATTTTATAGCCCGTTCTGCAGAGTCAAGCGGCTCCCTAGGTATTCCAAATTGCGACACCATAGCTTCACCAACATCGCTGATACTTTCTGCCGAAGCATGCCAAATTGGTTCATCAACCCGTAAATCGCCCCTCTTAGCCAATCGTTGGTGGATCAGTTTGGCTCCTTCTGGTACCATACCTGTAGGGCATTCGATCGTGCTCGCATGCACGCTGCATAGTAAGACCCATGTTCAGACACCAGTGGTTTGTACCGCTTGCCTCTAGGCAAGGCCGACATAACAACTCGATGAAAAACTGTTCCTTCAACCTGAAGCTGTTGTTCCAAGCTGTCAATGTCCATTGCATCCAGTTGTAAAAAATTTCGCCCGATCAATTTCAGCCATTCTCGTACACAGCAATGTGGGATAGGCCGCTTCTTCAGCGGTTTGGGTAGACTACTCTGCCATTGACCACCTGTGGCTGCCAGTTTTTGTGTTTATGTATATGTTCACCAGGGCAATATGCCGCCAACGGCAATAGCCATGGTGAGGAGCCCCAGAACCTAGGGGTTTTCTTCCTTGCACCACCATGGCAACAGCTGTCGAAAATACAAGCGTACTCCCCAAAGTCCAAGAGCAGTTGTGCAATACAAGGGACAAGCCAGGCCAGGCTATTTGTTGGATTCTCAATGGTGACAAAAAACGCCCCAGCTGATAAGTAGTCTGGCGAGTTGTGCTGTAACTTCATATACCTGATTGGCAGCTTGGGTTCTTACCAAATCATTCCAAAAAGATGCGGTACCCCTAACGGTTTGGCTTTTCCCTGGCTTTTGATGCTGTTCCGCAAGCTGGGGCAAAATGCACCCAGCCCAGGTTTTGTACTTCTGCTTGTAAAAACTGCTCCAACATATCCAAATCCTCAGGGTTTGTAACATCACACACAAAATCTTTGTGCCAAGTGATCTGTTAGTGGTTTTGTCGACTGCAACGCTACGGCAACCCATATGCCTGCATGCTTTTGTAAGCCGAGCCGATCTAGCAAAATTTCTACCATTAACACATCACAAATGGACTTTCCTTCCAGTCTGCTATTGGGGCCTGGAGGTCCCGTTTCCGTTTGCGAAACCACTTGCTTTTCAGAAAACGTACTTTTCTTTGGCCCCTGCAAGGTTGACACTGTCAAGGTTTGCATCTTGCGCTTTGCGACAAGGTTTTGCGGTGCGCGGTGTCATCTTCTTTTTTGAAACTGCACTGAAGGCTCGGACTGTGAAAACTGTGCTGGACCCTCTGTCAACTTTCAGGCGTTGGAGCGGCACGTTGACACTCTATGATTGTTACTCAGGCATTTCATGCAAATGTGTGCTCCCTTTTTTGCAACGCCCACTCTGCACACTTCCTTGCATCCCGATTTCATATTGTAAGCCCAGCAAGTGGGCTTCCCTTGATCGTCCACCTGCTTAAAGTCTTTAATCTCGTGGGACAGAGTGCTTTGGCACGCTGGCTCTGCTTCCCCTCTTTGCGTACTTTTCCTTGTGCTTTCGCACCATTCTTGCCACCACTGTTGGCGGCTGCAGCACCAGAGGGTGAAGGCGCTGATTTCACAGTGGCGTGAACCGGCACAGGTATAGAAACATCCAGCTTGCTCTTTGCATACCCGTCTGGCGCAGGTTTTGACAGCAAACCCAGCAAATACTGCACCCATCTTTGATGCAGGCCCCATTCAACCAATCGGCATCGATCTAAGGCATCCCCCCGGCGCTGAAAACACCATCGAAGCTGTAGCTCCGTATTGTTGTCAGCTTTCAGCGCGGCTTCAGCCGCTGTAACTTTTACAGTCTGTTGTTCAATGGGCAGCACCTGAGACTTCTCCTTCTTAGCAGCCACCTGTTTTTCTGATTCCCTTTTTGGTACATTTCGATGGCCCAATCCAAATGATTGGGTTTGACTCCAACATCGGCGCCGCCAAGTCGATCCGTGAGTGACTAGGTTGTAACTTCCCAGCAATGTGCAAACCGCTTAGCCGAGCCTGCTGTTGCTGAAGCCTGGCTTGCTTCTTTGCTGCTGGTAGCTTCCTGCTTCCTTCGACGTTGGTGTCAAGGGTGACCTGTTGCTTTGTGTGGGCCACATTCAACGTACACGCCTCAAAAAGGTAGACGTCTGACCCTTGAGACCTCCGACATGGTCATATCTGTGCCACCGTTCAGCTGAATGCGGAACCCATCAAAGTCTGCTGGTGCCGCTGGCGCTTGGGGAGTTCCAACTGCAAACCCCAGGTCACTGAATGTCCTCAACCGCTTTGTGACCATAATGCCTTTGAGCCATCCTGACGGATCAATCTTATCACAGTGCACCTGAAAAGCTGCTTGAGAATCCACCAGCGCCATGGGTGCGACACTTCGGAGTGAAGCGGCCTAGAAACAGTACATGACTAAAATTCTTGGCAACCCTCCATATATGACTCATGCGCATGCTTGGCTAGTTCATGACAAACTGCACATGACATGTTGAGCTCTGAGCCATGTCTGCAATGGTCCATTCATTGTCGAACCCTCCATTGCAGTACCGCTCTGAATGATTTGCAAAATATCCAAAGAAAACAACTGGGTGAGTTTTCCATGTATGTTTTGTCACAGCCATGCCCTACTACTAGTAGTTCCGCACAGCTGCCAACATTTACGCTCTGTCACAATGCGGCATGTTGCCACACTCCAGCGTTATCCCTTCACTGCAGCGAGGTTTTCTGAAACAAGGCGTGCATTTGATGACATCAAAAAGATGATCAATGCCTTCCTTCTTGTATCGGTCCGTGGTCTTTCGGCCACATGAAAACACCCGTATGTTCCCTTTGGGAGCAAGATGCACTGTGCGCAATTTGGAATGTTTCCAGACGTCCATGTCATCGAGTATTGGTAGATCCCGGTTGGGCACCTTTGGCATGACAACCGACTCCTCGTCACTGCTACTCTCACTGCAGGTCGTGGCATAATCAGACAGCAAGTCATGGTTTCACCAGCAATCTCACTGCCCTCAATTCTGCCAGCGTTTTCGGTTTCCACCTCTGTCGCAAAAGGTAAGCATGTGTTTTACACATCCCCAACCTCTTTGTCCAGCACCTGGATGAACCGCCCACTCCTTGTCTCATCAGGACGGAAACGCCCTCCTCTGATCGCAGCCAAGCATTCCCCCAAAACACAAAGAGGCCTGGATGCTGCATCCCTGCTGTATCTAAGCGCCATTCTGACTTGGTCTGCGTGATAACCTGACGCCAACCGATCCTCAAACGAGCATCCAAACTTTGCCCAAAACGACAACCAGGTCGCCTTGAAAGAATTTGAAGTGTAGTTACTCTGTGCCTGCAAAGTTGTCTTTGATGCATACTGTATGAGAATCACCTTCAACCACCTGCCCGCCTCTGCAGTAGAAAGTGGTCTGACAGATGCCACCCCTCCCTCATCTGGAGCTGGCATCAATGTAAAACAACCCAAGTCCTCGATATCCAAAATCTGCACGAGCCCTTAGCCAGCATGCGGCCCAGCAGTCTTCTGTGGTTCCAATGCCTGGCGCAGTCAAACGAAGAAAAGAGTGACGCATGTTGAGTGCACGGCATGTTTTGTATACTGCTGTACAACACTCCACAAAGCAAATGTTGCCATCTGTATCCATGTCCCATTCCAAAAACTGAGAATGTTTGGCGTCCGACCACCTTGCCCTGCCAAAATTTGCAGAAAAGCACCATGCCACAGAACGCAACATTCCATGGGTCTGATTCCGACTGGACAGCTGAGTGCACTAGCCTGAGGTGCTCCACGGTCAGCGTTGGTGCCTGTTTGATGGTTGCCCCCTCCTTTGAACTGGCAGCTCCCATGCACCTCCTATTTTTAATAGCAAGGTCCAAACTCTCGCAACCAAAACATGCCTGACAAAAACAATTGCTTCCATAAGTGAATTCAAACGTGAAGATGGGGCCCCGGCATCCCTTTTGTCGGCAAAGGTGGTCATGGAGCTCCGTTTCACTGCATGGAAAGTTCAGCTGGTGTGCATGAAGGTCATTCACAAACCTTCCAATGCTATTGCAACGTTTCAACAGAGTACCTGGCGCCTTATGATGAAAATTGTCAACCAAAATCTGACACTGTCCTCTGAAGTCAGGTTTGCTGTGCACAATCTGTATGAAACAATCATCACCTTTCCATGTCACTGCACTGCTGTGCCACGGACGTATGGCCACCTCCCACATGCTGTCTCGGTGCTCCCTCCACGACTGGACTGAACTCTTGAAACGACGTCCATGTGTGTCGCAACCCTCAATCTTTTACTTGGCATGCTTGAACCCTCTGTAGTATCATCCAATTGTGTTGCAACTGGTGGCTCGTCAACAACAGTAGGTCTGTGCAATAAAAGCTGTTTCACAACTGAGCTCTCAGCACCACCGCTGTGGTCGTCAAAAATTTCCGCCCAAAACCGCTCTCCCAAAAGAACTCAACAGGTTTCTGTTCAAGTTGCATCCATGATTTGTCCAAAACCTGTGACCTGTCATATGACTTAGAATCAACACGGGATTCAGCACCAAAACCATCTACGAAGCAAGGAGAGTAACCCTCTGAAGGTTCAGGCAAAATCCATCCGTGTGATCATGCAGCATATCGGGTGTAAGGTCCAAGGCCGCTTCCAATGGACCGGAAGATCCTGTTTGCCAACGCCAGCGTCATCGCTCACAGGGGTGTCCCTCGACGGAGCTGAATATTGTTGTGCACCCCAACCAGCAACCATTGATCGCCAAAAGAGTTGTCCATAAAAGCAAACAGGTCTAACCCCTATACCCCCATTGCTGTCACCACACCACATCCAGAGCTGTGAGCGGAAAAGGACTTCGACACTCAAACAGTGAACAGTTGTGACATGTTCACACAGGTTTAAAAAGAACAATCAGGTTTGTTTCTGGCAAACAAAACCCCAATTGAAGGTTTGGTGTTCACACCAAAGAAATTCGTAACAAAAAACCGAACAGACGTGTTTCCACAAACTGTTGTTTTTTCATGAACTGCGCATTTCACATTTTGCCCACTATGTTTTTGTTTAACAAAAACATTTTTCCTTTGTCCAAATAAGGTTACGATCTTTGTTCCAAAGAGTAGCAACATGGCAGAACACATCTCAGATGGATATTCAGCCGTTGCCCGACTCTTGTAAGATCCATCTGGATTCCGGGCTCCTGCAATTTGCTCGTGTGTGCCCGGAGGATGGCCACATACTGTACCCAGGGATTTCATGGCTGGGTATGTACATGCAAGAAGCCAGCTTTTGTACCAGTTACGATTGTAAGCACAGGCAGGAAAATTAACCAAAAATAGAGCACAGAATTTTATGAATCGTCGTACCAGTGGCTCAAGCCAAGCCATGGAATTGGTGGGTTGCTCCAGGTGTCCGTGGCCTCCTGCTGCAAATATTAGCTCCAAGCACAATACACTGCGAGCCATCAAGGTGTGGCTAGATTGAACTTTCTCCAAATCAGAAGGGCATAAGTTTGGTAGGCCGTCCAAAAATTGTGGTGTACGCAATGCTGGAGGTCCGCCTGGTTGAAGTTTAAGACGGCTGTACTCCCCACAATTCGGTGCTGCCGCACCATACCCTACGAGTCCAGAAGCACAGATGCGGAGCAGAGGTTCAAAGAAGTTATTATCCAAAAGATCCATTTTTGCATCGATCAATTTATCCACCGGAAAACATTTGCATCCACGCTCGAGCATGGCTGATGTCAGTGGGTAGCCTGCTCCTGCACAAATATCCAGAAAAATTCTGGATCCTTCAAGTGATGAAACATCCACAGAGGTTTGAACCGAATGCGGAATTGACAAAGGAGGATGTGAGACTACTGGATCTGTCGAAGGGTCAACCATTGTTGAATCCTCGAGGATATCGTCCTGCGATCCAGTCTGTGCCATGGGCTGGTCCGTTGTATGTGAAACCATTGATGCCTCTGCATTATCATCCAAGAGTCAGTGAGGTTGTTGCTGATGATCGAATGCACTGTGTGGCTGTGCACACGCCTGTCCTGATGATAATGGATGGGCGCAAAGGTGACTGAACTTGCAAGTGTCACCCTTCTGACATCTCCCGGATTGGTATTGCATGCAGAGCTGATGTCGTTTGCCTTGAACAGTGGCTTCGGTGACCCAAGTAGGACGAGAAGTGGTGTCGCCCTTTTTTCCCCCCTGTTTTGACTTCCCTTTGGATTTCCCACGACCTTTGGCCGACACTGGGGCCGCAGTAGAGCTGGATGTGGATGTTGGACGAACTGATATCTTCGGCCGAGGTTGGAGTAGAGAAGCCATATCTGATCGCAGGTGGGTCACTTCATGCAAAGCATTGTCCAACGTAAATTTCTGGTCAATCACCAAGTCATGAATCATTTGCCAGAGGGCTTTGTCAGCTGCTTGAGATTCCAGGACGTTCGGTGGCCTGAGTCCCGAGTCGGAGTCCAGGCGTTGTGTGAGGAACCCCATGAACTTCAAGGTGTAAGCTCGAAGTCGTTGCAAATGACAGGCCCCTACCAGAGCTAACGCAGTGTTATGCACCTCCAGCATGTTGCGGATGGCGTTCACGCCCATACCTTGATTGTTGATGTCCAAGGATGGAGGCTCATCCCAAATTAATTGATGGAGTTGAAGACCTTCAATTTTCGGGATCTTTGGGCGTTGATAAATGACCATATCTTCCATTCTGGATTGTGTCATTCGGAATTTCCAGGGAATCCAGCGGTATTCCTGTTTGGAATGCTGATGGTGTGCAAGCGATAATAGTCTGGTCGATGGCATGGTCTCCATCGTAAGAACTTCACTAGGATAATCTTCCAAAAATTGCTTCTTGAGTTTTGAAACTGTTGAGGATTGAATCTTGGGAGCAAACGACTCCGCCCAAGAACCCTCCTGCGAGACACCCGCTGATGGTGCTGCCGCTCCATCTGTTGATTCACGCACCGTAGACACAGTCTCCGGTTGAAGACGCTGCCACGCTACTTTCAAGTTTGCACGCTGAACCAGGGGAATCGGGTGATCTGAGATTTCAGCCCAGATGTCATCTGTAAATCCTGCTTTGGAATCCACTATGGCTGAAAAGTTTTGTGAGTTCCAGCCACCTGAAATCAAATGAGACGATAAAGCAGGATCCACGCCATTCTCTGCCAAATGATCTTCAAGATCGGGCAAAGCCATGAACCCCCAAGAGGAAGGTCGAAACGCAAGCTAACGCAAAGCAAAACGAAATGGCATGACTCACATTGAATCAGTGAACTCCTGAAAGTGTCTTACAGTTCAAGTTGTTGACATGACCACATGTATGCCTTCAAAGTTGCAGGTGATGAGCGGAAACAAAATTTGATATGATTAAAGCCTTTTTTGGTTTTTCTGGTTAGGCTTGAACCGTTAAGTCACGCCAAAGGAACATTTTTACCTGACAGGGATGCCGTGCTCTGTGCAACAAACTTGAATTGTGACAAATGTGGTGAAATGCATTAAATCAAGCTGAGTCTGCTGCCGCAGGTTTTTTGACCATTGAAGAGGGAGTCTATCACTCTCCTAAAGCTGATACCTGTTGCCATCTTTTGAAGCAAGCTGCATGCCGACACATACCAAATGTCGGATTGAGCTGCGTGTCAAACACGCAATTGTCACGGGGCAGTCTGGCTCCACATGCTGCTCGGAAATGTTGGTCATTCCATTTGGGTTGGCAGCAATCATCTGTCACTAGCATCATGTGTTGAATCCGGGTAACCCGAGCAACAACCAACTCCTCTGCGTCACCAAGAGTGACTTCTTCGGTATCTGAGCCAGAAGCAGAAGATGAGGATGAGCTACTCGAGGATCCTGATGATTCCACTGACTCCGACATTGCCTGAGGAGCCGTGGTTGGATCATGCGAAGCTGGAATTCCTTCCAAAATTGGGTCAGTCGTGGCATTGTTGAATTCGAAAAACTTCCAGTTATATGTTTGATACCCTTTTTTGAAACGCTCCAGCTGCACTGCCGGTTCCTGGATGGGTCGCTGAGATCCTCTGTGAAGAGGTGTCACAAACCTGTGACCACCTTGTACCTGCTGGATGAGGGTATCCTGTAGCGCCAACTGACCTGCTGTGTCATCCCGTGAGTATAGCCGCATGCTACCTTGACGATGATGACCTTGTAAATGACGCTGTTCTTCTGTAACCAAGCCCTTTTGTGCCAACTGATTTGACCAACTCAATGTGGTGGTCTTCAATGAATGCAAAGTATAATCAGTAGGGTTGGCTGAGGCTGGCACCACTGAATTCTTCCAGGGAAGTGTGCAGAAATATCGAAGCCAGTGCAAAGCTTGGGAGTATGGCATGGGCACCAATGGACATGAAAATCCGTCTCCATGTGTCATAGGCAGCAAAAAATCGCTTTCTGATGGGGTGTCATGCGGATAAGACCAAATGATATCCAATGACGTGAGCCACTGCGCAACCCAAGACCAGCTGCCGTGTGAAAGGAATCCACGGGCCTGGATGGCCCAAGGTTGGCCTGATCGTGAAGTTTTGGTCCTATAACATGAACCTCGCAACGCAGTGATGCACCATGACAATGATTTCAATGAAACGCGTTGTCCGTCAGCAAAACGAAGGCCACCCCATAATAAGCAAAGGAAACCGCCCAATATCACTTGTTCTTGAACTGAGCATTCCTTCATAAGGAGGCGTCTTTCCCACTGCACTACCAGAAACAAACTCAAAGGAATTGATTCACGTCGTTCATGATTACTTGGATTGAAAAAAGAGTTGACAATCGGGTCATACAAGCTTTGCCATTCTGATATCATCAAAAGTTTCTGAGCCCATCGCAAAGCCTTGATGGCTGTGGAAGCACCAAAACCCCACTCGGAGTGTTTCCCTTCATGAGCGATTTGCAGCAAATCTGACAAACGATGACATCCAATGTCCTTCCAAGTCCATGCGAAGTCCAATAAAATGCTGTAAATACACTGCAATGTGTTGATGTATTTGAACAAAGTAGAAGGTGCATATTTTTCCAGTAACCGTTGGCAATGCGTCTCAAATTGAGGGGATTGATGATATTCCTGCCAAATAGATGACAAACTGCCCACAGTGTTGATGAGAATCATCCAACGAGCGAGCAAATCCCTTGGAATGTTGGAGGCTCGTGCCACCAATGAACCTGCTTTGCATCCACGTGGTGCTGAAACATGTCGAGAAGACTTAGGTTTACTGCTGTCCTGTGGCATGTTGACTGGAGCATCCACTGTTGGCTCAGGACCCCACTGTCGCGCTGTCGGCGTTGGAGGAGTCGTCAAAGAAACTGGTCTGAAAAATTCAGGTGCCGGTCGACCTCCTCGTTTAAGAGGTTGTTCAAGACTGGTAGCCCTTCTACAAACTGGAACTGGAATAGCTTTGGGGGCACTTCGTTTCTTTGGAGTAGGTGCTGAAATCAGAATCCAGTCATCTGTCACACTGTCAACATCCATTGAAGACCAAAATCAAGATGTGGCTGAGGCCGGAGACTGAGCTAAACTCGGAGTGTCCACTGTTCGGAAGGTCACACAAGGACGATATACTGAAATGCAAGCAATGCTGAAATGGTACAGATCCAGATTCAAAGGTCCATGTACTGGAGGTTCAAAAGGCCAGTAGTCTAATGGAGGAATGTACAGAAAAGCAAAAATGATTGTACGAAGCTCTGCGAATTGAATCGATTGGTCAGTGAAAATCAACTGAAAATTTCGATGGCCCACCACCGCTGGCCGAAGCATGAAGCGCCCCGCAAGCCCGAGAATGCAAACTAACGAGTTGACATGAAATGTTGTACTGTGAAGTGCCACAATTGACAAAAACTTGAAATGAATGAACGCAAGAAAAAAAGCAAAACCGTGTTGCTGAATGTTGAAATTGAGAAAACATGAAGCAGTTAAACAAGAAAATAAGCAAAAACGCATGAAAGCCAACTTGAGCCAAAATGTTACCACATTAGTAGATGAAGTCCCACTACTCCAAAACATTAGTGAACAAGTACACTACACGCTCCTGCGGGTACGGCTCTCCGGTCTCAGCTAACCACTGTATGGTTTCTTCATGCGTCCACAGGGTGGTTCTCCACAATGGGATGGTATTGTCTTCATTGACCCAGAACAATGGCTTAGGCGGCAGCAACTCATGGGCTTCTACTATCAAAGGCAGCAGGAAGGCTAATCTTTTTTGATCATGGAAAATCATTGCTCCGTTCGGGTGAACTTTCAGGTGAGTATGGTTCCACACAAACGGTTGCACAACACGCATGGTGTGAGCGTCACGATTAAAGATGGAGAGTCGGACTTGGGCATACTGTGGTGCAGCACCGTAGACTTTTCCATCCCAGGGTGGTTCAAGGAAACCCCACCGCTCTTTTCGGCCATAATTAACGGTATCCCAAAAGGCAGGGTCAAACTCTTTCTCAAGGGCGTCGGCAAGGGTCGAAAAGATGATCCATGGCACCTCGTCGATATGCAAGTGGTATTCTACCAGCGTGAAATTATATGTTGTCTGGCAATCTCCTACCCATATTGTGCCCCTCACTGCAAGAAAACGAACGCTGCTGGCTGCTGGCATGTCCCAATTCATTCCAGCCGATATGTCCAGTAGGTGTTGATCAGAAACACTGATTTGGCCAGACGGGAAAGGGTTTTGCCTCGGCATACCAGCAACAGGTACCCTGCAGTGGCAGCACTCGCCGAAGTGGAGGTAAATGCACGGCGTCTAGTAAGACCAAACGACAGGAACCACTCGCAAATGCGTGGCAGCGGCCAAACAACGAAAGGCGGGCAGCGGCCAAACAACGAGGACCCCGTGTCGGCTTGAATATGAACGGGCGAGCAATAAGAAGTTGGATAAAAATGAGGATCCAGTCAACCCTGGCTTATGCAGGTGTGGTGTCCTCACAGTTCGAACCAATGGCTGCTGACGGAGACAGAGAATCATGTTCAGTCCAGGCAGAGTGGACAAAATACCAGACACTGCAACAGTAGGAGATATGTACAACATGTGACCGGTGACAGGATTGGAGGGACGGTTCAGTGTGGTTCAGGGGTAGATTCATGACATAGGAGGGAGCAACAAGGGGCAAGGCAAGTGGTGGGGCAGTAGCACATGATAGGCGGGGGTGGCTATCTGTGTAAGATATGCTAAAAGAGATGGACACTGAGGAGCATCATCAGCAAGGAGTACACATTATTGAGAGGATAGATCGCTGTCGGGAGATTGGGAAGAAGGTGGCAGTCACGAGGGCATGAACCATGTGAGATGAGTACCTGGCAGGGTGAAAACGGAGCTGAGCCCTCACCATTACCCAAGGTGCCCTTGGGAACAGTAGAGGAATAACAGACACATGTGTCATGTTCCTACAGATGTGGGGGGCACAGCAGGGGGTGAGGGCATGCGGGATGACTTAAAGTGGAGTGCTGGAAAACCCTATGTCATCAAACCCTGTGTCGTCCAGGGCATTCATAGTTTCATCCAACTGATACTGCAATCTCATGGTCAAAGGTTTGACAGGATGGACAAAGAAAGAACTGCTGGAGTAAGGCACGAACGTGGTCAGCAGTTGCGCTAATGGGCTTGCCGACCAAGGAGGGCTTCACCGCTGCATGCCGCCATCTAAATGGGGCGAGGCAAAGGCTGTTTCAGCGCTACTTCAGTACAGAACACTAAGATAGCACCGGCTTGGAACGGTGTACCGCATTGTAGTGTAGTAGTTAGACTCGCCATTACCCAAGGTACCCATGGGAACAGCAGCTTTCCTAAACTGCGAGCACTCAAGGCTCTATCAAGCTCTGAGCATGAGGTGCAATGGGCGGCGAGAGTTCTATCTACCGAACCTCGACGGCTCTGGATGTCCCACCGGCTTCACTACCCTTGTCATTGTCCAGTAGCTGAGGTCCTGCATGGTACCTCCAGGTTACCAAGAGGCAAATGAGTCGGCAATCAATTTGTTAAGCATTGCAACTAGACAAGGAAACAGGCTATGATAGCTACTGGCAAGACGCTTGCTGGAGCTGTGTTACCAGAGATTAAGAAACGCCAGTCTTTCCTGCGGCTGTTGGCAGCATGTCTGAAGGGTTCATTGACTTCTGAAAGTTATTGCATAATTATTGAACAATTAACTGGTCTCTCATTACTACCTCGAGGCCCGCAATCAAAACTCTCCAAATG